GATGATATCTCATTGTGGTTTTGATTTGCATCTCTCTGATGATTAGTGATGTTGAGCATCTTTTCATATGTCCATTGGCTGTCTGTATATCCTCTTTGGAGAAGAGTCTATTCAGGTCCTTTGCCCATTTTTTAATTGGATGGTTGAAGTTTTTCTTTTGCTTGGTGTGAGTTTTATAAGATCTTTATAAGTTTTGGAAATTAACACCTTATCAAATGTGTTATTGGCAAACATGTTCTCCCGATCAGTAGGTTACCTTTCATTTTGTTGGTGGTTTCCTTTGCTGTGCAAAAGCTTTTTAGTTTAGTATAGCTCTACTTCTTTGTTGTTTCTTTTGCTTCCCTTGCCCGAGGCAGATACATCAGGGAAAAAACTACTGCTAGGAGAAATGTCTGAGATTTCATTGCCTATGTATTCTTCTAGGATTTTTAAAAATATTTTATTTATTTATCTTTAGAGGGGAAGGGAAGGAGAGAGGGAGAGAAGCATCAATGTATGGTTGCCTCTCATGAGCCCCCTGCTGGGAACTGGCCTGCAACCCAGGCATGTGCCCTGACTGGGAATTGAACTGTGATCCTCTGGTTCGCAGGCCCGTGCTCAATCCACTGAGCTACACCAGTCAGGGCTCTTCTAGGATTTTTATGGCTTCACAACTTATGTTTAAGTCTTCAATCCATTTTTAATTTATTCTATTGTATGGTGTAAAGAGATGGTCTAGTTTCATTTAATGGCAGGTGTCTGTCCTATTTTCTTGACATGTTTATTTGAATATACTGTCTTTACTATATTGTGTGTTTTTGCCTTTTTGGTCAAATATTGACTGTAAAAATGTGGTTTTTTATTTCTGGGCTCTCTGTTCTGTTCCATTGATCTAGACACCTGCTTTTTGATGCCAATACCATGCTGTTTTGATTGCTCTGGACATGGACTACAGTTTGATATCAGGTAGTGTAGTAATGCCCATTTTGTTCTTCTTTCTGAAGAGTACTGAGGTGATCTGGAGTCTTTTGTGGTTCTACATAAATTTTTGGAATATTTCTCCTATTCTTACTGTATTGAATGCTGTTAATTCAGTTGTCACAACTAGTAACGTGTACACTGATAAAATTAGAAGTCACTGTTCTAGCAACTTCAAATTAAGATGACTACATTTATTTAACAATTTTGTTTATGTTGATCCTATTAATATCAGTAAATACCACTCACAGTATTAATAATGATACTTTATAAAAACATAAAGTTATGCAATGTAAATGAATAAATAGATATGAGAAAGAGAAACTATAAAGCTCTGAAAGGAATTGTTAAAACAGGCTGAAGGCACGTTGTACCACAGAGGTGTGAAAAACCTAAGGAATATAAACATGGCTGAGTTTTCCACCACTACACAATTACGATTTGTGAATAAATCTGAGGTTACTTTTAGTTTAGCCAGCAATAGTTAGCATTTGAATTTTAAAAAAGCAAATAAGCAGGGAGGAATATTTCAAGTAGAAATGGTTAAAATTTCCTGACAACCATGCCAATGCTTATAAACTTAATTGCTTCTTTGTTTGATAATCAACCTCATCCAATGGAGGAACAGGTTGTTCTCTCCCTCCAGAAGCTGCCCTGTGTCTGTCAGCTCCCTGACTTGGAGCTATTCATGTTACCTCCACCCCCAAGCCATGAGTTCTACATTTTCTTTCTGGAATAAACAACTGCCAGTTGAGCTAAGAAGGTCTGAATTGGAGAGAGAAATGCTGGGCAATATTAAAACTTTCTAAATTGTAAGACTTCCTTTATTTTAGCAGATCTTTGTAGGAGAAATTTCTAGGGGACTATTTATAAATGAAATCACCACTATATAATATAGCTACTAATAAATAGTTTATTTTCTTTAGGATGAGATTTTTTTATGAACTATTACATTAATTTGAAGGTGCATAAAAATCAATGTCACCCTTACTGAGAGTTAGTATGCCAGGCAAAATAATTTATTGTATTTTTTGCTTTATTTTTGTATTTTTCCACTCTTTTCTAGGGTATAACATAACATATCAAGTACATAATAGATTTTAGCACATGCCTGTCTGTTATCACAATTCACACACTGTCTACATGTTGTTTCCATGAACATATATCCAGTATTTAGACAAAACTATTGCTCTCTGTTTTCCCAAACTCTTGTTTGTGGGCTTTATTTTATTTTATTTTGTTTTTAAGAAAAAACCTCTCTGGCAAGAATGTGGAATAAAGGGAACCATTGTATACTGCTAGTGGGAACGTAAAGTGGTACGACCACCATGGAAAACAGTATAGAGGTTCCGCAAGGAATTATAAGTAGAAGTAACATGGTCCAGCAATCCCATCTGTGGTTATACAAAGGGAAAAATCATTATCTAGAATAGGTATCTGTATTCCCATGTTCACTGCTATATTATTTATAGTAGCCAAAGTATGGAATCAACCTAAGTGTCCATCAACAGATGAATGGGTCAAGAAAATGTGGAGGGGGTGTGTATACATTGTATACATACAGTTTTATGAAGATGTTTTATCTTAGAAGCATTTTTCCCTTCTTGGAAGACATCTTAGTGTTATCTATATATCTATAATAGCTTGTGCCTTTCCTAACCATCAAACAAGTGTCAGCCCATTTGCTTATTAAAAGATCGAGCAAATCTATAAAATACAACAGCCTCAAAAGAGCTGTCTATAACATACTGTTTTGTGGGGATGTAAGAAATAGACAGTACTAAAAGCAGAAAATCATGATTATGGTATATCTGTATGTAAGTGTATATGATGAAGGTGGCTTCTAATCTGAACCTTTAGATTATATTTGTACAACTCAAATTGGAAGGCAGCAAAAGAAACAGCAAATAGAAATAATTTTGTTCTCTGGATAGAGGTCTCGAAAATTAACACTCTACAATAATAACATTATCCAGTCTGTTATTTAACCAAACAAATGTTCAACATGCATTTATTATTTAAAAATTTTTTGCCAATTGTTTTATGGCTTCTTTGACTCACTTTGTGCTCAGCAAATAGCATAATTCATTTGTCCATTTATTCAATCAATATTAGCTAGGATAAGAAATTGCATATTTATGTGTTCACTATTTATCTGGTGTCTTTTGTCATCTGTATCTTATGGAAAATGAAGGAGTAAAATACATTATTCCTGACTTTAAGGATTTTATAGTCCATTAGAGAATAAAGAGAATACACACACAAAAGAAGCTCTCATATTTAATTAACAAATAAATAATAGAAATGGAAGCCTGGATTGAAAAGAGGGCACAAGAGATTCTGAGAAGCCAGTCATCTATAAAAATGTTGTTCCTTTTTTAACAGCAGGTGTTTTCAGCTTGATATAATCAAGTAACTATTGATGAGACCAAGAGAAGTTTAGATTTCTCATATTGGGAAGGCAATTCAATATTTATTAAATGACAGATACATTAATGATACATACTAGTCTATGATACAGGTAGCCTTTATGGAATTGGGAGAAATATCCTTGCATTAGTTGTCCTCAAGTGCAAAAGAGAGTTGAGGGTGTTTTCTGCAGGCTGTGACATCTTGCCCTGGTGTTTTAGGCTGAGTGCAGTGGGGGCGTGAGAGATAAAACAGTACAGAGGAGAGTGCAGAGACCAAATAGCTCGTCTGCAGTTCCACCTTGAGAAAATGACTTCTCTTACACTCTGCAAAGTGCAGTGCTTTGATAGACTAATCATATGTTCGATTAATGAGTGCTATACTTGTCTTCTGAGTGATATATGGTAATTTATATTATATTTCAGAGCTGACCTACTCATCTGTATTGTATGTCTATGCCATTTCGATGAACTAACTGAAAGTGAATTTTGGACTTGATTCCAAAACCTTTTAACTAATTCCCTAAAAATGTTTACTCATTGCTTAAGAAAATCAATTATTCAGGGGTTAAATACATGCTTCTATAAAAAATGACATTCTCATCACAGTCACGGATAAAAAATAGGCATTATAATTTAAATGCAGCGTGCAGTTCCTTTTGTAGCATAGTACGCTCCTACTAGGAATAAAGGAATAGTTTTACTTATTCCTTCTGCAGTCTGAGATATTCCCTGAATAACTGTACTGTGCTCTGACCATTATCACTAGGCTTTCAACTCACACCTTATATTATTACTTAAAGTATCTAAAAAAAAGAACCTGAGCCTTCTTTCTCTCACCTGAATGAAGTATCATTTCAGCATGTGGTTTTCAAAAATGGGCACACATCTATATTCTAAAACATCAAAAAACAAGTAGACTTTCCTGAATGTCTTCTGAGAAGCCAGGGGGAATTACATCATATACCGCTCAGAAAATCCACTCATGCCGCACGGCTGTCTGTGTCTCGAAGGTGCCATTCCTCACAAACAGCAGCTACTCCCGAAACCTGTCGTTTCTGTTCCCTCAACATAGCACCCTGACTACCCCTTCTCCCCATTCTCCCTTTGCCTTTCCCTGCTCGCTCCCCCATTGCATAATACTTTCAGGGAGCTCCCTTGCCATAGTTCATGAGCTTCGATTTTGCTTTTCACAGTCCTCTGCCCCACACATCACAAAATTAGTCCAACAGAGAAAACAAAGATCCTCCTCAGGAAACTGGAAGAAAAAAACTGTCAACACTCATGTTTTCAGTGCTTATGCATATGGGCATATTGGGGGAAATATGTTGCCCCAGAGTATTAATTGCATAAATCCCTTTTCCAGGTGGTATCCAATTAATTGTTCAGAGGGGGTATGGTAATTTTTCAAGGCTATAAGTTTTAATGCAGTATTAAGGCTAAATTTGAATTATAACATTACACAGCCCCTGGAATCACTAACTTAACCTTGAAGCTGGATTATTTTATACCGGGAAAAGGCGTGCATTTTTTTCCTTAGAGTTACTCAGTGTTTTTCAGCTCTAATATCATTCCTCTCACTATGCTCTAGGTTAAATTTTGATAATTAAAATATTAAATTAATTGTAATCTTACCATTGTGGTCTCTTGAATGGATCCAAAACTGTTGATAAAAATGTTGACTACTACATCGACAGGAATACCTGTGAATAAAAATTAAGGATCTATTTTGTGGCTGAAAATACTTGGTCAGAGTCTTCATATTTCATGGCTTATGCATTTGATTTTTATCTTGTTTTGCCCCAATCCTCATGGATATAAAATTATAATTCAAAGGTCTTAGTATATCATGTTCACAATTACTGATAACCTATTTTTTAAATAGGGATAATTACACAAATATAAAGTGAGTTAAGTTGTATTTTGTTATTCTTCCAGAGATATTTATCTTTAAATTGTAAAAACTCTGAGAAAATACATTTACTTTTCAACAGAAACTGACAACCAAAATAGAAACAGAGGCATGGATATGTGAAATCATCTGACAGCTCTCAGAGGGGAGCAGGAGGGGTGGAGCGGGCGAGGAAAGGCGAGGGACCAGTCAGAGAACAGACAGGCTTAACCCACAGCTGCAGGCAACAGTGTGGTGATGGCCAAAGGGAAGGAGGGACAAGGGTGGGGGGAGCTGCAGGTGAGCAAAGCGGGGCAGAATGGGGACACCTGTAATGGCGTACAAAATAAAAATAAAATAAAAAAGATAAATTTAGTTGGTGCACTGCCTTTAAGAAAATGTACATTATTCTTTACAAAACATCATTTAAAAATACGGTTTAAGTTTCTGAAATTTTATAATAATCTGAAATTCTTACTGGAATTAATAAAGCAATATTCAATAACTTGTACATACAAGTACTATATTTTTATTTCTGATTCATGCAAATTCAAAGTTAATCAGACGTATAACAGAGTCATTATACAGATTTTTGCCTGACCTCCTGGAAAATAATTGGAAAGTTCATGGAGTGAGAACTAAGGTATAATGTTGCAGATTTCTTTCTTGCCTTTTTTTTCTTTACTCATTGTGGGCTGCTGGTTGGGCTAACAAAGAGAATATGTGAGTTCAGCCACATAACCACCGACTGACGAGAAACAGGTGGCGAATCGATACATGGTAGACATGTGACAATGCAGACCACGGCTGTTGTTGAAAGTAACTGAGTAGGTTCTGGTAATGAACAAAAATCCCTGTTTTTACAACATGGTTGTATAACTTCAGTTGACTAGAAGCAGCTGCAGACTTTTTTTTTTCTGTGAAGGAAAAAAATTAAGCTTTATAATGTTAATCTGATCGACATTAATACCTGTCCCAGCTCTACGATCTTCTCGGGACTTTTATAGCAAGTATGAATTTTGTTCTTGAAAGCTGTGGTAAATGGTAATCTTTTGTTGGGGTAAAATCAATCTATGTTGTAGAAAACACAGTCACTTGTATTCACACAGGTTAACGTGTTTTTAAAAACCACGTGGCCATCTTTTTTTCCTCTAGCAAAGGAGTAGAGGGAATTTTTTCATCACTGTGAAAGACTAGAAAACAGTAAAAAAAGAATCTAAATACACAGCAGAACTGTTTTCTATCCCTGAATGAGGAGATGGTCACTTTCCCCCAACTGAAACTTTGGCGTCTGTGTATGAAAGCCAGTGCTGCAACCAGAGCCTAAATTTTAAATCACCAAAGTTAAGAATACTAAGTATTCAGAAAACCTACTACAGAGGTTAATCTATTAACTCATGATTTCCTTTTAAAAAAACTGGAAACCTTATAAAACTATTAGAAGTAATGTTTGGCTTATTTTTGGAACATGTTTAATGTCACATTGCTCTGAATCAAAGAACATTCTGGAAAAGTCAGATATTAATTTGAAATGTTATTGTATTAAATATCATAAATGAAGGCTTTCATGCAGATAGAATTCATTTTTTGAACTGCACAGAATAGAACGATTTGCAGGCATGGAGGGGAACAAACCTTTGAAATTTGGTCTTATCCGGGGATCGTAACTGACCAGCAGCCTATTCAAGATGTTGCTAGTGGAATTGGCAGGGACGCGGGCAAGGTCTTCTGCTGACTGCTGGCTATAATAGAAAAAAACAAAATGAAATCCTGGTAAGTATTTATTTTTGGACACAAATCTACAGTTATATCATGGTGTTTCCAAAGAGAAGTAAGTGAAAAGTTGGAGACATTGCCAGCAGCCCACACACACAAAAAAAAACATGTGTCATAAAACATGAAAATCAACAAATAATTACTTTAGCACTTAATTTTACCAGGTGAATGAAACACTCACTGTCCCAAATACTCCAAGTTACTTTCTCTTTAAAAAATTAAGCAGACATCTTACTTGTCCTGAAGCTACCTGCAATCAAAATCTAGACAAGCACAAAGGGAATGCAGACAATGAGAAGAGCAAAAAGAAAGTTTTTGAATAATGTATTATGTTTAACCTTCCGCCTAAATAAAAGAGTATGTGAATACCAAAAGATGGCCAGAGAGATAGTCCAAGAATTCAAAAACAATCCTGCTGACATTTGTAAAATAATATTTCCCAAGAAATGCAAAACAAATGTTCTCATTGAGTTAAATATGTTGGAAGGGGGTGTGAAAACAAATGTACTAATAAAAGAAACCTCATTTAAAACGGAGTCGAGAAGCCCTGTAGGGGGAGCTCTCGCACAAGTACCACTTCTTGCAGCCTCCCAAACCAGCGGGGAGAAGGAAGATAATCATTTCAGCAAGGGAGGACATTTTCCACGGAGGAAATTTGTCTCCTGCTTTTCTGAAAAGGAAGGAGGATCTGTCCTTGCCTCACTGCAACACTCTGACGCCCACTTGCAGCCTATGACAACCCACCACAGCCTCTCTTGTTCTCCAGCGAACAGTCTTCCCACTTCCGTCCTAAAGCTAGTAAGAGCTGGCCTTCCTTTTCTCTCTGGACTAGCCTATGGTTCACCATAGCTTGCTTGTCCCAAATTAAACTTCTCTGCTATTCCCGAATAAACTCAACTGCCAGTAAAACAGCTGGCTATTTCTACTTTTGAGGTTGACATGGGAAATTGGTCAAAAGGAGTGTCTCTGTTACCAGAAATTAAACAGGGAAAAATACAGAGCCATAAGCTACAACTACCTTTGTTACATATATATTTGCTGTCCACTAAGGGAAAAACTGCCACATTTTTCTATTTCAATTAACTTTGAACAATGAACCTTGACTAAAATGGTAGTTGCTTGAGAATACTTAAAAATGCACACACTTCATTGGAAGCCAGTGGAAAATGTTTGGTTGTTTATGGTTTGTTTGACCACTCACAGTCTTATCACATAATCATTTTCCCAATACAAAAAAAAATCCATGAGAATCACAAGGAACATTAAAACTATAGTTGGAGCATCTTTCACTATCCATTCTGTACTGATATAGTAAAAGTGTCCATTTCATAAAGTATTTTGATTTATATGAATCAAACTCAGATGTATTGGCTATAGCTTTGTTTTGAAATTCCAACTCCTATCAGGCAATTCTGTTTTGAGTTAATTATTATACAATTTGCTGATAAGATACAATCACTAAGGTGAGATATAGCCAATATTAAGAAATTTATGAAAAATCTAAAATGTTGCAGATTATATGCATTTTATTTTATTTTTTTAAAAAGGTCTTATAATGTTTTCTTTTTAAAGATTTATTTATTTATTTATTTATTTATTTATTTATTTATTTATTTATTTATTTCTGGAGAGAGAGGAAGGGAAGGAGAAAGAGAGGGAGAGAAGCGTCAATGTGTAATTGCTTCTCACGTGCCCCACTGAGGACCTGGCCCACAACCCATGCATGTGCCCTGACTGGGAATTGAACCAGGAACCCTCTGGATTACAGGTTGGTGCTCAACACACTGAACCACACCAGTCAGGGCTATATAGTACTTTAGAATTATTTCTTATCATCTTATCAGCTTCAGTAGCACAGTTGCAGGGAATTAGGGACTGACAATAAGATTTCGTTTCATTGTATGTGAAATTGTGACCTCTTTTTTAAAGCCAACCCTCATCCCTTATCAAAGATACAAAAACTCTAAAGGGAATGAGGGGGTGGGGAAACTGGATATCAGGATGCAAATTGGTGTTCAAACCCATTTACAAGGTTTCTCATTCATAGGATGAAAAGAGAATTAATTAGAAAATATACTTGTATTGGTCCAATTAAGAAATGTGATTATTGTGCCTCTTGATATAAAACCTTTCACAAGTATTTTTCTTCTAAGAAATGAAACGAGCAGACAATATAAAGACAATTAACACTAGTTTTTCTAATAGAGAAATTTCCAGCTGATTTTTTTCTTCCAGCTATGAAGCATGGCAGAATGTGCTACGCTATAATATATCTCTTTGGCATAAAGATTATTTTGAGCCAGAGGCACTTGAAAAACAGTAAACACTGGGAGAAGCTTTCTCAAAAACTCTTTTTATCTGCCTAAAAACAGGTCCTCCAAAATGAAGTCAGTTGTCACAGATCCTCTCTGGGGAGTTTCATCAACTAGGAAAGACTGACTTTTATCACCATAGAGGAAACTAGAAATGGACATTATACCAGACAAACTTTGTCATAAACTATCATACCTCTGGTCTATTTTTCTAATAGCTCATCCATCTATTCGATATATGTATATGCATGTATACACATGCACACAGGATACACACACATACATGTATATATGTGTGCACAGACATGAATTATGTGTATGCATATGTATATGCACATAATATATGCATGTGTATATATATCCTTCCTTAACTAGTCTATATTCCTCCTTTCCACCTATTAATATGATATATAAGCTCTAAATCTCACTACTTTTGGGTATTCACTTTTTGTGCTGTGATGCCCCTATATAAGATTAAAAATTGATGTTTTAATACTTTTACTCCTGTTCATCTGTCTGTTTCCAGTTATTTACTAGGCCTGGTTTTAAGCTGTAAGCTGTGTCAATCAAACCTATTTTAACTCATTACCAAATTCTGTCTTTCCTCTATTCATTGCCTCAGAATAAATCCCCTTCCTGGAATACTGTTACTTCCACTCTTTAGTGTACTCATCTAATCCCAGCCCGTCTTTCAATGCTGACTCTCTAAAATCCAGCCTCAATTATCCTGCCTTACTGTAATGAAGACAAACTGATAAAGATACATTGGCAATACTCTGAAGCTTCTTTTCTTATCCACGTGTATATAACCAGCAGGACTGGATCACAGACACTATGCTTCTTGAGGAAATTGTGGCTTCTGCATCTTTGTAATCCCCTGCACAGCTTACACAGTATCAAATACACATTGGTTCAAGCATTTCCATGTGCCAGGTCTTTAAGGAGACTTCATGCTCAAGATAGCTGTGTGCCTCACAGCAGTAGCAGTTACCCTCATCATTTCCAGATGAAAAAGAGATTTCTTCCTGTGGTGTCCTTTCAGGAGAAAGGACTTATTTTTTCCCCTCTCAGAAGCTTTCCAACATTGGACATTGCTGAACCAATCACTGGCCAGCAGGAAGAAATAATCATGGTTGGCTCAGGTGGTATGGTAGTCCGGTGTGCAATAGATACCAGAGAACCAACCATCTTGTCCATTACATTCTTTAATTTGATAATCACAAACACTTGCTGGGTTACATAAGAGAGACACTAGTCACACAGAGAGCCATTTTTTCAATGAAGTGAAAGAGAAAAGCCAGACTGGTAGAACGGTGAGCAGTAGGTGAGTAGATAGAGTGATAAAGTGCATGACTATGCAGAAATGAAGGCACAGTAAGGTTGACAGTTTTCTAAAGTGGTAAAGTCAAGAATGAAACCTGATCTAAGTTCCCAATTCTCATTTGACAACAACCCTGCTGTAATGGAAATGAAATGTCATCTATCTTCTTACTGCCATCTATCTATACATTGCTTTTTATTACTTTAGGACAATAATCTATATTACATTATAATTAAGTTCTATTAGTCTTAATAATTTTAGAAATAATTAGTCTTGGGAAACCTGAATTTGCCCTTTTTACAACTTACCAGTATCACTCTTCCCTCTAAACACCTCCAAATTCTGGTATTTCCAAAGCCCCCCAAACAGTTAACAAAAAGTCACTGTTGGTAGACAATCTCTTGAAATCAAAAAGAAAGTATATCGAATATGCTAGAGGCCCTTTTATTCTTATTCATGTCAATGGCTTTTCATGTCTCTGATGCAGGTAAACTGACACAAATACTTAACCAACAGTTCACCCTTCTTTTTATGAGCATTTTAGAGATATTTTAAAATTTAAGTGAAATTCATGTAGTTTATATTCATGAATTTAGGGATCTTCCCCTATCTTAAAAATCATGTTTTTGGCTTAGTTAATACTAAAATAACCTTAAAGTCATCTCTACACATTAAAAACATTTAAAGAGCCTAAATAAATATGCCACTTTCTTCCAAAGAGTTGAAACGATTTGCATGTAGCATATTTTCCTATATGTGCACTTTATATCATCTTATAATTTAGAAAGAGACCAGTATTATTTATAGAAACTAAACAGGAATAAGAGGAGTTAAATGATTTTAATGCCTCTCACTATTAAAGTTTTCATATTCTGAATCTCAGTCCAGTGTTTCCTCCATATGATTATGCCATTTTATTTTAAGAAATCTATCAACAATTATGATATTATTACAAAACAGGATTTATTTCATGGAAATGTGATATCAATTTAAGAAAATAACTTACTCTACTCAGGCAATGTGATCAAATGACTAGAGAAAATAATGTTTTATATCAAAAGCCTTTTTACAACCAGTCTTCTTTTGTTCACTTGCCTAAACTTGAACCAAAGTCATTACTAATATGCAAAGTTATGCAAGGAATGTATCAGGCTGTATAGCTGTATGATGTAATGTTTTCCAGCACTAAAGGAAAAATCCAGAAATTTCTTTCCAAAGGGGAAAGCTCAATTTTCCACGTAGGACGTTCATATTTTTACATGACCCTTTAGTAACCACACTGCACAGCTCCACTTCAGAACTGGTGTGTGAGAGCATAGTGTCCTAATCTCCT